TTGTATGGAGTGCGCAAATGCGCCATCCATCACGCCCAAAGCCGAATCCTATACCCAATATTTCATGCAGGATATGATCCCCATGTGCTATTTTGAGATTCGTGGTGTCTCAGCTATATATCGCATGTTCAATCGGCCGTCTGCCAACACGTGATCGTGGTCTTTTGTCATACATATTATTCCTTGTGGTAGCCGTTTTCCGGAATATCTGGACACATCAAAAATTTACGTGCGACCACATTGAAATTTGTTAAATCAAGCCGTTGAAGAAATACAGTTCACGTATGCGGCATTCAATCGCTTTTTGCTGCCAGATTTCCCTTTCGAAAGCAAGAATCAAATCATCGACCAATATAGGTTTTTTTTCCAATTTTGCCATGAACGCGCTTCAATACAAAATTACGGTACCGATTCGTTCGAATATTTGACAGAAATTGACTATGAGAATATATTACACGATGATATTTCTCTCGCGATAGTGGCGCCATCAGACGGTGGAGCCTAAGTATTGAACGGATATATTACATATGGTATCCGTTCCCTATTTGAATTGTTACGGACTCTTTTTTTTCGAAATTTTTTTTTTTTATCAGAAAATTCAAAGAATTTCTTTTTAAATAAATTTCTAAATATGTACAGGCACACAGATGTACATATGTATGTTCTTCCATCAGCACAAAAGTTGAAAATCATTTATGCAAACAATTAGCTATAGTTAGCAAATAGGAAAAAAAAATGATCGCAGCAGCTTGTCAAATGGCTGACTGGAATCTTCTGCTGCCATAAAAATACACACATACATACATAAGTCTAAGTAAAAAAGATGAGCAAGGGGAATTATATGAAATTAAAGCATAACTTTTACTACCGCTCCATATGTACATTTTAATTTTACGACTATTTTGCTTTATATGCATGCAAATGTTCTTTTCCATTTGCTGCGTTGCGGCAAATCCAGACTGGTCCATTAGCCAGCCGGCCGGTCGTCCGGCCACATGTGGCGGCTGCGCGCTCTCGTGCCAAATTAAATAAAAGCGCACACACATATTTTTACTTGTATCAATGTGATGATACTGACTTTTGTTTACTTATATTTATATACAAATGTATAATTGTATATCATTACATATATATATATATATATATTATGTGTACATCTGTATATATTATATATAGCAAGTAATGTAAGACCCTGTTTGCAGCTGCTCTTTTCATGTAAGCGAAGGAAATTATTTGAAAGCAGCTGAAGTCATGGTTAAAATAAAACAAATTTATTGGAAAAATTGTACAACAATGCATTTGTGTACATACATACATATGTGCATACACATTTGTAAATAGGCTTGGTCCATCTGTTTTCAAATCACCCTTTTGTATTGATTGGGTTTATTGATTTGGTCGTTGCACTCAGTTTTTGGGTGGAGCTCGATTCGTTAGACATGCTAGGGTGTTTACATAGATACATATGTCAGTATGTAAATATGTATTTGTCCGGTGCATGTTCGAAGCTTGGGAAATTTTTTTTGAAATTTTATCCGATTTTTTTAAAATATTTTTTTATAGTAAAATAAAAGATAAATATAGTAGATACATATAATTTATATTTTTTATGTATATATTTTATATTTCTTATATATTTTTTATTTTTATATATTTTTATTTTTTATATATTTTTTATGTATATATTTTATATTTCTTATAATTTTTTATTTTTTATATATTTTTTATTGTTTATATATTTTTAATTTTTTATGTATATATTTTATATATTTTATATTTTTTATATAATTTTTATTTTTTATGTATATATTTTATATTTTTTATATAATTTTTATTTTTTATTTTTTATATATTTTTTTTTATATATTTTATCTTTTAAATATTTTATTTTAAAAAATTTTTTTAATTCAAAATTTCTCTCCACACCCAACTAATAGATTTCCACTTCAATTTGCCACACATTTTCCTGCATAAAAGTACACTCATGTATGTACAAGTATATACCTATGTAAATATTTATGTACTTGTACATCAACGTTAGCTGCCGTTATTTAATAACCGCATATCCACTTTCATTTCAGTTGCATTTGTCCCAAATTGGCTTGTCCACTTTTACGGTGAATATTTTTGTGCGAACGTGCATATGTATGTGTGTGTATGTCACTTTGTGTGCACAAATGCCGATGGACTTTCTCAATTTGGCATTGCTGACATTATTCCGATGAGTTGGCATTCCGGTCTGGTTACTTTTGGTTTTCGCATTATGTAATAAATGCTTGCATTTCAGCACATAACTTCGGATTAGCGTAAAATGCTGCACTGAATTGCGGTTTAATCGTTTGCGCTTAACTTTTAAATTAATTGTAGATTAATTTTTTATTGATTTGAATAAACCGTTTTTTTTTTTGATAAAATGTGTCTGTTATGTGTCTGTTATGTTTTGCCTTCCAGTATGTGTGTAGATTTATAAGACTTCGAAAATTTTGACAACAAAAACAATCGTTGCTACGGCAAGACTGTCTATGTCACCTAGAATTGCAAAAAACAATTCAAATATACAAATTTAACTGATAAATAAGCTTCGATAAAAATGTATACTCAGTGATTTTCGTGTAAGAGTGGCTTATATGTTGTGGATCGAGTGTTAAAAAAGACATCAGAATTTTTTGGAAAGAAAAGTTTTGGAGTTTATTTTTCTGAAGGTGACCTCTGCCACAGCAATAAACTGGCTGAAAAATTGTTGGATTACTTCGAAGTCATCCAAATATTAGAAGTTCAAAGACAAGACCAGCTATTTCATGATAATTTATAAGTCCAAAAAACAATCGGTAGACACTTGTTAGATCCCAATCTAAATGTCTGCAGTACACAAGATCATTTCTAAGTAAATACTGCTATTATTAATAACACCACTGTTTATAAAATTTTTTTTAAAATTAAACTGAACCAAATATTGCCAAGTGTATATAAACGCAAACTATTTCCTAAACCTTAAGTAATTATTGTAAAATAGAGTTACCATACCGTTTGACACCAAAATCGTAGAAATCGGTTAAGATTAGACAGAGATATAAAAAATCGCTTCTGCCCACTCTACCATATAGATATATACATAGATCGGAATTCTGATCTTATATGAAAGAGCAAATTTCTCTCTAAGCCTATAATCTCTTCTTTCTTCTTTTAGAATGGTAGCATCTTTGCTAAACGTCTAATCTTTTGAAAATAATTTAAAAACAATATTTGTTTCAAAATAAAAAAATTTGGATTTTGAAAAATAATTAGCTGTCGAATATTTTGAGGTTCTCTAGATATCATATGAATTCGCTTTACTAAGAAGAGGAAGACATTTTTGTAAGATTTAATGCTAGAAAAAAGTTCAGACTCCAGCATTAGCTGTCTTCGATTCGAATTTTCTCAGCTCACTTCTGCTCTCCTGTCAAAAAAATTAATTGTAAAAGCAATAATAAAGTTATTAAGTTGAATTCGTACAAGAGAGCATATGGATACCTCATTAAGGGGTTACATGGGTTTCACTGTTTCAAAAAACAAAAAAAAAAACTTATTGTCTTATCTTAATTCTATAACATCTTTCGAATATTTTCCTAAATTCTCAAGTTGATCCCAGTAATAGCTTTGAAAAGTTGCGCGCTCGAGGTCAGCTACATACTCACTTAAAACTTTAAACGCGTTTTTTCGAAACTGTGTTTTCAAAGTCGGTTGTTAAGATTCTCACGAACTACTCCCCCGATCTGTATGGAATTATACACAATCTTTGAGATATAGTTTACAAAGTCTTGTACGAAGGAATTTTGTTGTTCAATTACAACTATTTTAAAAAACCAAAAACGTCGAGAAAATTTCACCAAAATTTGAATTTTTTTTTGTAAAAACGTCTCTCAAAAATACAATTTTTACTTTATTTGTTTTTTCTCCGTCTCCTTACCTAGTTTATGGTCTTAGTTCAAACATGTACAGGGACTGCCGGAAATGACGTCGTAATGACCGAGTTTTGAATATTTTCCTCTAAAAATTTCACAAAATCTTTATCAAATATGTATCTTTGGAATAATAAAAAGCTGGAATAAAGTATTTCATTTTTATATGAAAAAAAAAATATTGAAAATAGAGCGTTTTTTGCTGAACTAAACCTATGTAACCCCTTAAGTGGTGTAGCCGCTATCTTGAGTGCTACCAAGTTTGGTTTTGCATATTATTGTTAATGGTTCAAATGACAAATGAAAATACAAATTTCTTTATTTTCTTTTATTTTTAAAACTTAAGACTTAAAATCAATTATAGTAATATATTGAAAACAAAAGTAAAGGGTTACTGCAACGTTTTTTAACACGAAACAAAGAATTTCTACACTAAGAAATAATCATAACAGTATTGCCAATGCGTCAGAAGACATGTTAAAGCAGGGTTGCACCACAAGTGCTGCCCATTTGTTTGAGCATCTAGTATATTGTAGTTTTTCGATTCGCTGGAGAGTAACGCTTGGCGAATCGAAGACAGCTATTTTTATCATTTGGTCGATGGCTTATCTTTTCGAACTTAACATTTTTTCAAAAATTCATACTGGCTCTATCTCTATTAGTTTATTTACCTGTAACAATCTTCAATAATTTGAATACTAGTTTACTAAATATTTCATAAAAAGTGTTCGCAATGAGGATATGGACGTCACTTGCTGGCGTATAGTTTTAACAACTTCCTGCCCAGCAGGTCAGTTGTAAAGTAGATAACTCACTGGCATCGCTGCTTCAGTTTTATGTCCAGCAATTTTATGAGAAAGCGGAACATCTCGAATTGAAGACAACGAAGAAAGTGCATGTTTTTGTAATGAACATTATTTGTGGCATTTAATAGGATTTTCGCGCATAATGTAAGACTAATAATAATGCTTGTGTCGCACAGTTGTACATATATGTGAGCAATAAAAAAAGTTGATGCCTTTCCGTCTATTAACAAAGCGTTTATATTTTTTGTGCTTACAGTCAAACCAGGATATAAACAAGCAAAAACCACTGTTACAAACTACACCCGGCTAAGAATACAGTTTCTGGCACATAAATAAAAAGAGCGGAAATAGCCACCGGAAGTACGGCGTAAAATCAAACACTTGACACAGCAGCAACAGCAACAACAACAACAACAGTCAGACAAAATGAGTAAAAAACCGACAGTCGGACCCGCGCTCCACAAAGTGATAATGGTGGGCAGCGGTGGTGTCGGCAAATCGGCACTGACGCTACAATTCATGTACGACGAATTCGTGGAGGACTACGAACCAACCAAAGCAGATAGTTATAGGAAAAAGGTGGGTGCGCTCGAAAAATTGCCATTTGAAAAAAAACAATTGTACATTTGTTTTGTGTGTGTTTGCAGGTCGTTTTAGATGGCGAAGAAGTACAAATAGATATATTGGATACTGCCGGGCAGGAGGATTACGCCGCCATTCGAGATAATTATTTTCGCAGCGGTGAGGGTTTCCTCTGTGTCTTCTCAATCACAGACGATGAAAGCTTCCAGGCAACACAAGAATTCAGGTAAGCGAAATTTGTTTATGTACACATACATAGTAAATACATATATACATAAGTCTCTGAGTGTTATAAACATTTGACTATCAACATTTGGACAACAACATGTATGGCTGCTTACAAACGGTTTTTCGCTAGCGGCGTTTGTTTAGCGTTTGGCTTTTGTTAAGCTGGTGATTTGTTAGTCAAATTGTAGCCGGCGTATTAGTGAAATGCGTTGATTGCTTTGGAGAGTGTCGACTTACTGCTGTCATTATAGCATAAGCTGGTTATTATGATTTGCCATTTTTCATGCATTCTTCTTCACTATTAAGTAAATAGCCGCAATTTTCACCTTATAACTCGCGGTTGGTTTGGTGCTTCTTTCTACAGCGTATTATTTATTTATCTTTGATTGACTTGGCCTCCTTCGCTTTTGGTTGTGAGTGGTGTTTAGTTGATATTTGCTTGCTTTTGTGCTAGTAAAATTGCGGATTTGTATATTTTTTCATATCATATGAGTGAAATCGCTTATTAAAAAGCAATCTTTAGCACTGATCAGAGTTTAACCTAAAAATACTTGTAAAATCGAAAATTGTGCAGAATGGCGAATTATTTTTCCACAAGTTCCTTTTACGTCGATTCAGTGATCCAGAGATGCTTCAATTTCTTCAATCAGTCTGAAAAAAAGGTTTTCTGGAGATCTGCAAATTAGGCTGCCGACTGTGAACACCCTCCTTATTTGACTCAAATTTCTGTACAGCGAGTGACTTTAAGTGTGTAACCAAAAAGAAGTCGTACGAAGACAAAATGGGCAATCGTGTTGCCTTTCTCCATGTAGTCAATATAGATAACGTATTGTGGATCCAAGAATCCGTTCCCACGACAGTCGGGTCCAAGTAATCGGAACGGACCCGGATTTTTATCCGGCCAAGGACTATCAACTCAGGCACCATTCCTCGAAATTACTGCAGGAATGTTTTCCGCCGCTACAACAATCCAAGAAACCTGTGGTTATCTTTCTAAGATATTGAAAAGTCAGTCTCTGCCTACTTTGGAGTAGTTTTGCCGAGTGAAGTCCACTGTTTCAGCTGTTCCTTGGACTCTTTTGTTTACCAGTGGTTCTCTGCGTCGTCAACGGTCAAGACCCGAAGCTGAAACTCCCCCGGATTTCGCTTAGCTCTGCTGTAACATGATCTCACGGTTGCGTTTGTTCATCATATGCATCAACAGCTTTCTTATACCCAATATTTCAGGCAAGATTTCACCTAAGCAGTCTCAGCTATCTCACCCATCCTCAATCGGCGGATCCACTACGAGATCGGGAACTTTGGGCGCCTTAACCTTCGTGGTAGCCATTTTTCAAGCACTTGGCCGTATACAGCATATAAGCACTCTTGACTTCAATGCTTGATTTCTTCTCGAAAAACAATAATCATCGATCGATATTTCTCTTTTTTAATTTTTGTTAAATCCGGGGACACGCCCGTTGCCACACGTGGTAAAAAAAAACTACGCGCTCGATTCAGTTGGAATTTTGACATCAGCCATTTTCGAGAATCGTTTACAAGAAAGTAAATTTCTCTTGTGATAGTCGCGCCATGGAAAGTTGAGGCTAAGTACTTATTGGACCTCACTCATATATGCTATTTATCTTCACTATTGATAATAATTGTTGTTGTGAATTTAATTTGATGGAAAATACGTCTGTAATGGTTTGCTCACCTACATATATGTATACTCACAATTTCAAGTACGTCTAACTTATGACCGCATTAAGTTTCCCTAATGTGCTCAATTAGTGCACTAATACCGCTACCTAAAAAATGCCACACCTTTAAAACCATAAAACTGTTAAATTATTTGCATGCTTATAAGTACATATGTACGGACCCAAAATCATTAGGCCGTAAAATGCCAAGTTAGCGCCAGGATACAAATCCTTGTACGTCAGCGCGTAGTCTGCGTGATGGCGTCGACCTTAATGTCGGCATGTCACGTAAACTCGTCGAATATTTTGCTCAACTTCCGCATAACAGTCGGTACACATGTAGTAAGCTCAAGAGCATACCGTATTGATCCACTAAACTCTGCGGCGTCAACTTGACGCGTCCTGCAGACGGAACTACAAAACTTCGTATATAAACAGTTTTTAAAGTGCCTGGGCTGTGGTAATGGGTGGCAGGTGCGTTGCTCTCCGATGCAAGAAAGCCCGTTTACTAGTACGCAAATGCATTTGCGCTTATGTGTGTGTAACCTAGTCTACCGTTAGACGTGTTTCACCTGCCACAAAGCGAGGGTGAATAACAAATCAGGTGACGTATGCCCACCCTCGGTCGCTGTTGGCAAATGTTGGCTTTGCAAGGGAAACAGCAGAGACAAGAACTCGCTAAAATGTGCCAACAGGTAATATTTCGTCGTGCCGTTGGGATTTTCAAATATTTTCCCTACTCGTGGGGCGGAAAAGGGGCTAATACGTTGGAAAAATAGCTGTTATTTCTTTTTAAGAGTCTATGGGGAGCTTTAAATGGTTGTTATAACATACATATGAATTACAGTTTCGTTTATGTTTCATATGCTTAATTTACATTATTTTTCCTTACCCAGTTTTATTCATGTCATTGCTTTTTTAGTGGTTGCATTTTAATTTTTTTTTTTTGAAGTCCATTAGTTTTATTAATTCAGCTCTTTATCTTTTTTATTCATATTCGTGAGACTAGGCCAGACTTTGGGCTCTAAGGGAAGTTTATACGCTTTATTTGTACTGTCTTATATAATTGTCTTACATATATAATATTCGATTACAAATTCTTTTATTTTTGGAGGAGTAGAGCAAGAGTTGGATGTGTTTGACCCATAGTAGTAGTCCTAATATCCTTACATGTCCTAACATGTAGATAATAATTTTTTAAAACAATACGCAAATCTATGTCTTTGGTTTCATTCCTTAGTAAAAGAGCTTAGTTCAGTTATTTATGGAATGTAGGCTCAAAAATTTGAAAAAAAAAACATTAAGTTTAGAAAAGTAAGCCACTAGAATTGATTTCATATGTTTTATAAATCGTAGTTAGAAAATTGTTTCGTGAGATGGAGCATATTGAGTTACGAAAGTTTTCGAAATCGAAAAAATGGTTTAAAACGAATTTCTTGTATTAATAAAATACATAATATTGTTTGTGAAAAAACCGCTACTAATATCAAAAAATGGTTTGATAAGTGTTATCTGAGTCGGGCGAAGTAGCTATTCGAAAATAGCTTGCTAAATTCCTCCAGTTCATATAAGCAACGAAGACGTTGCAAACAGTGCATATTCTAGAAAATCAACAAAATAATAATAATAATAAATAATCTTTATGATGTTTCTAGAGATTGTTAACACTGTAAACATATGTATTGTTTATGAATATTTTGGTTATGAAAAAGCTCTTTGGAAAGCGAGTATCGTGCGAGCTAACAGTCGACCGATTCATTGCGTCACAAATCTATGAAAACGATGACAAAATTTGTATGAACTCCACTTAAAATTGCTTACGAATCCACTGTATTCTCCTGATTTGGCTGCCAGTGACTTTTTCGTTCACAGATCTTAGAATAAGGCTTGCTGGAAATAAATTGGCGATAATACAGATTTTTCAAATGATAGGAACTTTTCATCATATCTATGGTATTACAAAATTTCCTAAATAGTTCTGAGAAATGTAGACTGTCATTTCAAAACCGGTCATAAATCCTCGAATGTTTCAGTAATTTACAGGAACGATCTTTCTGCTGGAGTCATTACCAATTAATCGATGTAAAATAGTTACGCCACTTTTTGGGTTTTCCATAATGCCAAGTGCTGTCATTAAGAAGTTACATATACATACATATGTGTACCGAGATAATCTTTTGCATTTGTAAAGCATTCGTGTCTAAACAATTTTATTAATTTCACTTTTAAAGTGAAACTTCTTCTCTCGTTTCTCGCATGTCGCATGTCACATTACAGCTCTCTATATCTATGATCGTTTTTCTCTATACATTCTTTGACATCATAATTTTTCTATCGCTTATGAAAAAGTCGAAATTTTAGTCAGTTCTCATACAAACAACAGTCTAAGTCTAACCTTGTTCTAATCATTTAGTTTAATACAATATTAATTCCAATTTATTTATACCATATTGCATTCTAGCAGAGAATGTTGTTAAAAGTCGCATGAAAAAGCATATGCTTCGATCTGGTCCATTTAAATATTTGTGCAAACATTGTTGTTCAGATAACCGAGTGAAAATTTGTGTTCGTATCAGTGTGAGTAAATACAACAAAGAGTATTTGTAGATTTATGGGCAACCAGCCACTGACTTGAATGTGAATGCAAACAGCATACAAATTTAACGCATGAAATTCACATTGAAATCTCCATTTGCCGTGTGATTTGACACGCACACATCACACCATAACTGCACACGCTTTTCCACCTGTGTAGACGCAATAAAATGTGCAAAATTAAAAGAAAAACGAAAGCGAAAAGCTCCGCATGCAAAATCAAACATAAATTAAACATACATCCGACGCGCACGCGAATTACCTGAGAAGCTTGTCCATATACTTTCATATACATACATATATACCTATCTATATACATCTGTAGATAAATATATATATACATTACATAAGTATATGTGTACGAGTATGTATAAGTTTATAGACTTTTGCTGCTGCGATATTCACATCTGATTGCAGTCGAATACAATCGTCGGTACTTTTGGGTGGTAACCCTCTGCTGTTGCCTGTCGTAGAGACCTTTTCTATCGCCTAACGTACTAACATTCGCACAGCCGTTCGGTTTTTGCCTAGAATCGGCTTTTCCATTGTCCATCTGATAGATAGCGGTCCGTCCGTCCGTCCGTTCGTCAGTCGACTGCGTTCACATGGCAGCTTTAATTGGCTGTGAAAAAAATTTCAAAATTCAAGTCTAAGAAAAATACAGCAATCACCTGTCAATACATACGAGTATATGCCTATATACATCTGTACTTACTTATGTATGTTTATATGCATGTATATTTGTAGTGCCTTTTTCGTTGATTCATTAAAATTTTCATCGCGTGTTGTTCGCATGAGTCAGTATTCGATAAATTGCGGTTGATTACAAAAAGGTGTTCAATATACATACATACGTATATACAGACATATGTGCGTAGTATAATATACACATATGCACATATATATGTGATCGCTCTTTTGTATAAACTTTATCGTTTTATGTTGATTTATGCAATTTGCTTCAGTTTTTAATTTTTGATGGATTTTACGTGTTCGTGTTCAATTTGATTTAAATGTTTCAGTTTTTCAACTAAGCGATAACAATTGAGAGCCCGTTGTATTTAATGAAGAGAATTTTGTATAAAAAAAAGTAGATTACTAAAAAGTGCAAAAACCAAAAACAAAAAAAAAACATAGAATAAAAATTAAAAAAAAAAAAAACAAAAAAAATATTAAAACATTAAAAAAAATATATATAAAAAAAAATATATATAAAAAAAAATATATAAAAAAATGTATGAAAAAAAATTTGAAAAAAATTTAAAAAATTAAAATAAAAGAAGATATGAAAAAAATATATAAACAAAAAATTTTGTAGGTAAATAAATATACCAATGTTGAATTTGGTAGAGAATGATTTAAAGGGTATATAGCAAAGCATCAATTTGATTGAGCACCTTGGAATTCCTCTAGAGATCTACAGTCTCACTACTAATCTCCAAGGGGAACTCAAGGTTATATATTTGATTGTTAATTACACTAATTTAAACTTTGAGAGCATTATCAAAATTTTGTAATTTATTTTAATTTTCAAATTTTTATTGCAATTCGTAATTTCTTTAATTAATTAAAACAAAAATGCTATTAACTTCGTTGATGCAGAATACTATAATTTTAATTTTTTATACTTTATATCGATAGTATTTTATGAATATGTGTACATACATGTGTATATATACCATATATACATATATATGTACATATATATTTTATTAAATTTAATTTATTGTTACTAAATTTTTTATTTTATTTTTGTTTATTTTAACTTTTTATAGGATGGTTTATTTCTGTCTTTAATTTTACTCATTATTTTTATTTTATTTTAAAGTATTCGATGTAATTTTTAATTATTATATAATATTTTTTTCATTAGCAAAACCTTTTTTGTGTAAGTTATTTCATTTTTAAAAACCATAAAAACTGTTACTCATACGCAATGTTGCACGCATATCATTTTTTGACAATTTAATCTACCCATTTTTTATTATATTTAATATGTTGTATTATTAAATATAATGAAAAATGGGTGGCTTTCGGAGTTAACGATTTAATTACAAATAAAGTTATTTTTACTTTTGTAACGTGTACATCAATAACTATTATATATTTAGTTATTAAACATTTAAATATGCTTATTAATCCTTCAATTTCCACTATTTTCAGGGAACAAATTTTGCGTGTGAAAAATGACGAAAGCATACCGTTTCTGTTGGTGGGCAACAAATGCGATTTGAACGACAAACGCAAAGTGCCGCTGAACGAATGCCAGACACGTGCCCAACAGTGGCAGGTGCCCTACGTGGAGACCTCAGCCAAGACGCGTGAAAACGTCGACAAGGTAAGTGCGTCGTGTTGTTTGTTGTGTGTGTGTGTGAGAGTGCGTGCGTGTATGCATTATTTTATGTGCGTATATGCAGTTGTATTGTTTCTCACGAAACTATTGGCATTATCTATATATAATATATTTTGCAATTCTTTCGCGTAAATACGAGCGCTGAACTCCGTCATATTGCTGTGCTGTGCGTCTCTTTCGTTTCACTTCTTATTTTATTTGATCTTCATTGACATGATTTCCTCAGTTTTCACATGACTGCAGTTCACAGTTGATCGCCCTTTCTTTTTTGTTTTTGTTATTGCTCAATACTTTGCTTTGAACCACACACACATTTTCTTGTGCGCAAAAGCAATATTATACCGTTACATTTATATTAATCGTATTTTTTGTGAAAACGCGCTCTTTTGTTGTTGTTTTTGATGTCGTTCAATTTTAGTTTGTTATTTACATGTATATTCTTTCATTAATTTTTTATTTGCGTTTGTTGTAGTGCAACAAAAAGTTAACAGAATTAAAAATTAATAAAAAATTAAGCAGGCTAATACATATGTATACTGTTATTTGTAGTCACCGGCGTTGCCAGCATAATCTGCAAACTACCAGCAATTTGTTTGTCTCACACACTTTGTCACTTCGTCCTCAAGTTCAGCTTACACACATAGAGAAATTCACATACCCCACATATTGTTTATATACTCAATAATATCGATAATATCAAACACACTTAATATGCTCCAAATAGGTGTTTGTGCCATTTATTTAGTAATATATTTTAATTAATATTATATTTATAATTTAAAAAAAATTTAGAACGGAAATCTATTGTACTTTTGCCTTTATATATTTTAAATATTTATAGTAATAATTAAAAAAATAATTATAATTGTTATAATATGTTTATTGTTGTATATTTAGCACATTTTAGTTACATAAATTTCTCTCAAAGCTATAATTTGTAATTCATAAACCTAAAATTTCTTCAAAGCGATGTTAAAAAAAGTAATCAACACGCCTAAAACTATGCAAATATGCAAAATTGCCTAAAACTAGGTTATATATTTGACTTTTTCAGTTCTCCAAATATTGTAATTATTTCAATATTATAAGTTGCGGTCTTTAGTGGAATTTCAATCTTAATCATATATAATTTCGACTATTAAAATGATTAAACAGCATTATAATGCGCCTAAAAGATCACAATAAATTTTAAAATTAAAATTTTTTATTAAATTTCGGAACAACGTGAAATTTAAACGTTAAATATTTCCAATTCAAACAATTATTTGTTAGTTTGCTTCGAATTTAAGGCGCTAAAGTTTTTCGGTAATAATTGAGACGAAATTTTATTTTCATATATTTCAACATTTATAATTGAAAAATATTGTATTATTTTAACTCTCTTTAAGCTTTGAGTTAATTTTAACGCTCTTTATACTGCCTTTGCATACTTTAAGGCGCTGTAACAAAATTTTTGGCGACATTTTCGAGTCGAATTTTTTATTAAATCAGTTTTAACAATAATAATAATCTAAAATATAATTTTAAATCACTTTAGAATAAAAAAAAGTGAAAAATAACGTGTTGCGCCTAAAACTAGGCACCATATAAAATTTATTGCGGTTTAAGTGCTAGATAGTTAGGCTCGTTCGGCGTTTGCTCAGTGTTGTAATTAAACAATTGTTTTTCGAAAACTTTTACAGCTATTTATTCAACTATCTAAGTGGTGAGAAATAGCAAAAAAAATTGTGAATTAAATTTTATATGAAGTTATATTGAGAGTTATGCATATTATATACATACATATATTTAATAATGCCATGATCGATTACATTTATTACCATAATTGTATTTTTGTTCTTCTTATTATGAATAAATAATCAAATAGTGTGGTACTGACCCTGTAGGACTCTGAGTACTTGTAATTATTCGAAATTTTTAAGATTTTCCCATAAATTTATTTATGTATCTCGGCTGCTTTAATATAGTTTAAAATTATATATTTTCTTATGCATATATGTATGTATGTAAGTTGACAACAGTTCAGATTTCCTGCAGGGCGTGTAAGCAAAATCACTTATTTACGAAACACAAGTTTTATTGTTTATAAGTACTTTATTTCACTCCACGCAGACAAGATTGTTGGCAAGTTTGAACAAAATATATTCAGACATATCCATATTTAAAGCACACAAAAAAAAGCTCTTTATTCAGCAGTTAAATTATATTTTTTCTCATATAATTTTCAACAGCAGCACAACGAATTGGCGAAGTATTTTTTTTTTAATTTATATATTTATTCTTAATTTTATTTTGCTGTAGTGTAGAATATGTTAGTATTTATTTTTTATTTGTATTTATATTTAGCAGTTTTTTTTAGTGTAATTGCTGTATTTATTGCTTACTGTTAAACATTAAGCAAGTCAAAAGTTAACAAAAAAAAATAAAAAATGTTAAAAAAGCGAAGAAATTGTTCCATACTCTCTTTTTCACTCTCTCACTCTCTCTCTCTATAAAACGTTGTTTTCTTCTCATCCACTGTGCTCTCTTTTCGTCTCATGCAGGTATTTTTTGATTTGATGCGCGAAATAAGATCCCGCAAAACCGAAGATTCGAAAGCGACTAGCGGGCGTGCTAAAGACAGATGCAAGAAGCGGAGACTTAAGTGTACACTACTTTAGGCGTATTTGTAGGTGCATAAGCAGACTCTAAGCAAATATAAGAAAAACAAAAACAATATAATGAACAAATCAAATATGCAAATATGAGAACAAAAACAAAAAACCACAAACAAAAACAAGCGAACAAAGATTGCAAACGAAATCCCTAACTGTACTCTACTCTCCCAACCACCAGACATCACATCGAATTAGTACCATAACCTACTACATAGCTGATCTGTGTATATGCAATAACAACAAAATTCCTAACCGAATTACCGAGAACCGTTTGTAGTATGTACCTTTCCTTCCGTTTGTTAAAATAAAAAAAAAATCGTTGAAAAGTTTTAGTAATTGCATTTAGTTCAAAAAGCTCTTATACTAATTTGTATTTTATAGAAATGCTACTTAATTGCTTACTAATTAATTTTGTTAGTGGTATTTAGTTGCTGTACGAATTGAGTTAGCTTTTTTTTTAACACTAAGTTGCTAAAAAGCAATGAAATTTTTGGTTGGTTCAATTTTTTTTTTTTCTTCTTGGGTTTAGCTTTAAGATTTCCGCTCCTTGCTTATTCTGCATGCACCACTAACCTTACTAATTACATACAAAACAAAACAGTGTACAATATTTTTTATGAATAACAAAATTTTAAAAATATTTTTTTTAGCTTCTAAAAATTCTGTTCGTGGTATTTTTCAGCGGTTTCCAAACGATAGTTCGACGTTTGAAGTGTGTTTACTTTTTATCTTTCTATACTTGTAAAATTTCAGATTGTTCGACATATTAAGTTTTTTTGGTGTCCTCTCACTGATTCTATTGATTTTACCCCAGCTAATTAAAGTTCCCCTCATACATTTGGCGATTACAGTTTCATAGTGGCAAAATTTTTTTCCTTCAAGACAAAAAAAAAGGTGCTGAGAGCTTATAGACAATTTTTTTGTGGCACTCTCATAGAAATCCTCGTCCCTATGGGGAAAAACTGGTGCGGTCGATTTTCATAACCTCCACTTGACGAAAATTATATCACCATAGACAGAAAAAGGTAGAAAGAATTCACTTAATGCCAGGTCCAAACTATAAGGTGGATGCATTGGTTTATTTCAACCAAACTCCCGCATCTTTTGGCGAGTACCTATCGACGTGTGTGGCCGGGCGTTGGCGCATTAAGCGTTTGGCCTTAGGGGAGCAGCTTGTAGTAGATGATGCATTGTCAATCTCAAAACCCACATTACAAAACCTTCCTGACCGTTAATCCTGGCTTAACCACTGTTTGTAGCACTCACCGCGATTCGTTTTCGCTTGACGTTGTCGTAAGTGACTCACTTCCCATCACCAGTAATCGTTCGCTTCAGAAATGGATTAATTTTGTTGCGATTCAGCGGCGCTTCGTAGATGGAAAATTAACCATGAAGTTTTTGCGTTAACTCTTGTAGCGACCTTACATCGAGCTAATTTTTGTATCCAGCCTTATTTAAATGGTACCAAATAGTTATTTGCACAATGTTTAGGTTCTTAGCTATCAAAACGTTACTTACATGACGTTCAAAGTCGACGATTTCTACTATTGTAAACGATAATTGAGCTTCCAGAGCGTGGTACATTTTGGCATCAAAATTACCGGAACGGAATCGACGAAACCAAAATTGCGGATGAATGACTCGTACAGTATCAGAACCATAAACACCGTTTCACGTTTTCGCCTATATCGAAGTAATGCTATAAAATGTGGCGTATTTTCTCGTGGGTCGTGTCCACCTTAGACGCGTGCTCTAACAGTACTAAGTCAAGCAATTAAATATTAGTCTGGAAGTTTTTTTTTTTTACAACAAAATGTTATCTTTGTAATGGCATATTGCGTAACACGATCGCACTAAAAAGCCAGCTATTATAAATATTATATATTACTAGATCGAATATTATATACATGATTTTATGTTCTCAAAGTCCTTGTTTCCGCCATATCCCCGATTATTATGTATATACCACATATTTGGTCGTTAGTTACTCGAAATTTTTGAAGATTCTTTATCAATACTGTTATTGTGGTTAATCCTGGAATTCCAAAATCTTTACATGATGCAAGTTTCTTTCTCTGAGAAAGACAGCAACAAATGCCGATTGCCCTAGGAAAGTCTCGTGAATTCCAACGTAGGCTTTTATATTAACTAAAATTATAAGGTATACTACACTCATTTCTTACTATAAATCGTTTTTTTAATGCCACTATTTTTCCTAATTCATTAAACTGTCACATTCAATCTGTTGGATGATCAGATCACAAAAGCGGTAGTGAATAAAGAAGCCTATCCAAATGCTTCGCATTTTAATCGCATACTTTCGCTGCGGCAGATTTTAAAGCTTGTTAAAAGTTTTTTTTTTTAATCAAAATTAGTCTTCCAATTGAGGTTAGGTTTCTAAATTATGCCGCACCAATAACCATATTTAAAATTTTGCTACTCTTAGCCTATTCGATAATTTTATTGTAAATATAGTATAATCTAATATATTAATAAGCTAATACATCGGCTTCCAAACTAAAACATACTAAAATACACCACAATATATACATATGTACACCACAATATATGAACACGCCTCCGAATACAAACCTAACCTACTTGTATACTTATATGTATGTATATACCCGGTTTTTTATTCTCCTACTATTGTATTTGCTTTTTGGTATTGGGGCTAAATTTTTTGCTTCAAACAGCTTTATTTCACTATTTAAATTATGTGAGAATTTTCAAAATTTTATTTAAATTTTTTTGAATGAGTTTGTTTGTATATATGAATTTTATATTATATTTATTATGTAATTTTGTATTACATATTTTGTGTTTATATATATTATTCGTAGTTTGAGTAGCATTTCACATCTTCGTCACAAGAAAACTAAACTCATTTTCTTTAACGCCATCGCTTTACGAAAACAACAATTTTTTTCTAAACATGTATTTACTAAAATTATCTATTCTCTTTCAATTATGCGCAGGTATTTTATGATTTAATCAGGGATATTTCTTCGCGAAAGAAACAACGTCAGTCCGATGTGCGACAGCCGCCAAAAACCAAATCTCATTGCTGCCAACTGCTGTAATATTCATGAAATTTGAAAACCGAACAACTTCAATACAAAAACAACAAAAAAAAAAAAAAAAAAAACGACGCTGATGAACAACACAAGCATAATGCCGCAAACCAACAATGACAATGACGACGAATGAATAAAAATAATTATTCACTCCATTTAGATACGGAAAAGAGGAAAAATAAAAACAACAACATGCAAAGCTGTTGTCTTTGCAAGAGTTATTAAAATAAAAAGTAAAACAAGAGTTAAAATAAGTTCTAAAACTGCAGCGCAACTCTGTTATATTACAACAATAGAGGAGAAAATGAAAACAGCATATGCAACTCAATTTATGCGTAAATTTGTAAAAAAAATATTATAATTAAAACCTACAAGCCACTTACAATTGCATGCTTACATACATACATACATACATACATAAGTTTATATAGGTAAATATAAAGCAACACCAATTGTAAAATCAATCAACAACGTACTGTATTCAATAAATGAACAAATGAGAAACCAAAATATACAACAACAATATAAACCTTGTAGAGAATTATATTTTGGCAACTTTTTATGTACTAACTTTGCTTATGTTTATTGTTTAAAGGAGAGCTCCTGAGAAAGTATATAGCTGACTGTCTACTACTCATGGTTGCTGTAAAGGTATTTTATAAGTGTTCCATACAATTTGATTTTGAATATTCGAAACAATATTCGTTTGGATAGTTTGGACAAGTTTTTCATGATTTTTTTTTTAAAGAATTCCCTAAAATTAATTTTGAAGGTCCGAAACAATATTCGTATATGGGTTTGGGGCGCACAACACGCTTGAATTCGTATTTTTTTAATAACTTCAGCTAAAGTTATAAAATTACCATATTCTGGCAGCATTATGCCAATTTAAATTTTTTTTTAAATATTGAAGTATTTTTACTTTTTTTTTTGATTACAAGTTTTCATTTCATACAAACGTTGGTACAAATTTAAAAAATTATGAAATTTATAGCCTGCTTTTAGATGCGAATGCAGGTGTTGAGACAAAATTTTTTAGTAATATTTCAATAATACCCAAAAGTGGCGTAATTTTGACCGCTTGAAGAATTTGTGGTTACCAAAAAAATTTAAAAAAAATGCTGTTAAAAATGTTTGATACCTAAATACAAATTTGCAAAAATATAGCATACTTTTGGGCATACAAGTTATATGGTATTTTTAAAATTCTCAAAACATGGTTTTTTTTCTCAATATTAATTATTTTATTGCACAATAATACTCTTTTACATATGATTAAATTATAAAGTATTCAGTATTCAAATATAATATATTTTCGAAATAGCTTTCAATGCAAGATTGTTTTGCCTCTAAAGGCGAAGAACAAGTTTCGATTTGTAATTCTTTACTATTTCGCTTTAAATTATTTGTTTTCAAATTATAATTCTGGTTTTTACCACGTAAAACCGCTTCCCAAACTTTATATAGTATATATATATACGGATCAACAAAAATTTGAACAGGGATTTTTGGATACTTGTGGCTTTATGCTAAAATCCCTAACAAACATTTTATAAACCCAGTTTATCTAATTGAAGATATGTGCATTGAAATTCAAGCTTAAACCTGCGTTATAATGTAATTAATCATTTGTTCGGGCATTACATCAGCATTGAAAGTATATTCTTTATGGAAATTGTATCGTTGATGGTTCTAGATAATTGTAGGGCAATGCATTGATATAATTCTATGTTGGTTAATAAGGTATCAGCAGAAAATTACTCTACTTTGAATTTTTTTTTTAACAACAGAAAAGAGAGTACTCTTAACTCTTTTAGGCGGCGGCCAAATGAAAGTAAAATAAATGTGAAAATCCAAATTAAATTTTTAATACAAATTTTTTGTGAAATTACACCAACGGAAAAGCGTTCTACATCCCACTATCGGTTTTAAAAAACCTAAAATTCTTAACTATACAAATATTTGGTTGTACTGTGTAAACAATAATTTTTAAAATTTAATTGTATTCTCTAAATACAATTATTTAAATTATTATAATAATTTTTTTTTTTAAGTTCAATATTATGCACATAAAAAAAAGGAAAAAGTAAAAACAAACGAAATTAAAAACATGAGTCAAACGACAAATAACTATCAATATTTATATAATATACTTGTATTGTAAACATGCTTAAAAGTAATGCATTGCTTTAATTTGTATTTGTAAACATAAAAACAAAATTTTTTTAATCATATATGTAAAATATTGATAATTTACAAGTTACTTTACGTTGATATTATTAAGCGTATTATCACACTTATGTGAAGCTGAAGTCTCGGCGAAGTTTCATAGATATATGCACGAAGTGGCAGCGATAAATAAAAGAAAGAAAGAAACAACTACAAATACGCTGCACTGTGCGTTTTGTATTTAGTTATGCTATTGCAAGATCATACTCCGTTGCAAGGTTCTTATATTTATATTAAACTAAATGCATATACAAACACACATACATAGAACAACTTCATGTATGTTTGTAAAACCGGTATGCTTGGTGGTAACCTATTTTTACCCAGCTAACTATCTATAAAAACCTATAAATCTTCCTATATGTATATTGTATTTAATAGCAACAACAATAAAACACACATACACACACCAAACTCCTAAATAAATACCCAACATTATTATTATATTTATAATTATATATATATATATATACGTGTGTAATTATTTGTTTATTACTATGTAGAATTATAGGATGCTATTTTCTTTATGTTTAATTTGATTTTGTGTAGTTATGCGTAATTGAAAGTTAAAAAAAAAAAAAAATTATTATTAAAAACAACAATTATAATTGCAAACACATTCTCATACATTGTTGTAGTCTTCTTTGACACACTGTGCACTCACCCTTATGTCTCATATGCAATTGTTTGTTGCATTGTTGCAAATTAAAGCTGCAGTTCAAAAAACAAAACAAAAACAAAAAACAGCTGCATTCGAGTGAAGCAAGTGCGAAAAATTACAACAACAACAAAAAAAAATCAAAAAGTAGAAAAAAACACGTTCGTTGACTTTGCATTGTCAATAGATGTGTAAGCAAAAACAAACTTTCTTAACTAAACTAAGCCGCAAACGACGAAAAATTATACATAATTATTAAATAAAGTAATTTAATGAAGATGAAGATGAGAAACATTCAAACAATCGCTACAAAATATACATACATACTTATATAAAAAATGTACGAATATGCATTTGTTTTTTGTAAGAAAAGTTCTTAATGAAAAATCCCAAAAATAGCTTCAATAAAAAATCAACTGAAAAATATGCAGCGTTTTTATTTTATTAGATTTTTTAGTTAAAAAAGAAGAGAAGAAGAGCCAGAAAGAAGAAACTTCAGCTGCACTGAAGCTATAATACCTTTCACAGATGCATTACGTATTGCATAAAAGGGTATCAACATTTCTTTGTTTTAATTTTTATTGGTCAATTTGCAAGGCAGCTATATCCTATAGTAGTACGATTTCAGTGATACTGACAAATGTAATGCTTCTTGTGTAGAAAAGAACGTGTGCAAAATTTCAGATCGATATCATCGATATAGCAAAAGCTGAGGAACTTGTTCGCGTATATATGTATGCATGTACAGACAGACGGACATGACTAAATCGAACTATTGTTGTAGCGGCCGAAAACATTCCTGCAGCAATTTCGACGAATGGTGCCGATTTGACACTTATTGGCCGGTTAAAAATTCAAGTCCATTCCGGTTATTTAGACCCGATTGTCGTGAGAACGCTGGGTTTTCGTCGATTCCTTCTGGATCCTACCAGCTTCATGGCTAACTTAATATTCGCTGTTCAAGGTATAAATATATTCTTTACAGGCGTCACAATCGAGTGCGTTACTAAGACTTCATGGGTGATTTTTCGGTCGCAAAGAAATTTAAAATTGTAAGCAGTCAAAACTTTGTGTGTGTTGCTGACCTATAAAAGCCCTTTAATATGATATTAGACTACCGAAATGGCTTCAAATCTTGCAGGATCCTTTATATTTATAAACCCACACATCACCAAGAGAAATCGAGGAGGTAGGAAGGAGGAATATGAACAAAAGCGTGGCCCAAACACTGGCAGCGGCTAGAATAAAATGTGTATGTATGTATGCTTATAATAATTTTCTTAAAGTAATTACCAAGCACTTTTTCTCATAGCAAAAATGTAAACAACGCAATGTTACGAGCAATATAACCGCACTGGAGATATACCCATATAGTACAAACTTATGCTTAAGACTACTGTTCACGGAAAGAAATGTAACTATATAAATATAATTATGTTATAGAAAAATGTATATTTCCGTGAATAGCCAAAAGTAATTCATTGATTATCATTATGTAGGTGCATAAAAATGACCCTGTTCGGAAAACATAAATGCAATATAAAGTGGCACGAGAAAAGCTAGCAATAAGCACTTAAGGAAAATTTAAGTTCGAAAAAAACTATATCAGCGACGAAAAGATTCGTTTTAAAATATGATTCGTGGAGACGTCAATTAAAAGCCTAAGTTAAACACCAAGACAGAGATTGCCTGCGGATATAAAGCTATAAGGATAAGGAGGTCCAAACCTTGTGTATAAAATTTACAACGTCGGAAACACGATTATTTCGAAATTAAAAATGCTAATGCGAAGCCAAAATTTCGAAAAATAGCCAAAACAATATTTTTTCTTTGGTCAACAGTCATTAAAAGAGTAAGGGGATATCCTAATATAGAAATCTGTAAACATCAAGAATATTTTTTTCATATTTCAGTGGTTTAAATATTTAAAAATATCTCCGTAAAAGGATTTTTTAAAATTCAAATTATTTTCAAAGTTCGAGCTGTTTTAGTGTCGTGGCAACTAAGCCGGTTTAGCCTTAACTGAAAACTATAAATCAGGTTAAATGTACTATGACCGTATGTAAATATCGTAAAAAAAAAACATCTTCGGGCATATTGGATTCTTCTTTACCATCTTTTGAATATAGTTGCCTTTATCATCATTTCGGGCTGTACAGCGAAATTTTCAGCAGGCCTTGAGCTTATCAAAGCCTATGAGCTTTTCAAATAATCTCGCTCTAATAAATAAAAGTTAATAGATCTTAAACTTAAAGAGATACAATGTTTGATAATAATTTCGATTTTTCAAGTCACTCTGATATGCAAATTTTTTTACAAAAACGCCTTTTTTGTTATTATTAGTCCTTCGAACATTACCTGTATTCATACATTGTAATCATACTTTCTTTGGGATTTGGTTTGGGACAATTGCAAGCAGAAAAATCTTTCTCGTCGCCAGACACGTTTTTGCGTAGGCTACGGGATCAAGGGAATCCCAAATTTTTAAAAATGAATCATAGATCATTAAATTACATAAAGTTTTGAAAATGTCTTTTCAAACAAAAAAAAAAAAAAAAAAAAAAATTAAGAAAAACCAATTTCTTCTGACTACAACTCCTTATGTAAATACTTAAGCTAAATTATAATCCACACATCCATGCTTGACCCTGTGTTAGAATAAAAAAGACATTTTATTTTATAATATTTTTATTTGAAAATTTTTATTTCAATTTTAAATTTCATTTCACTTACAAATAATTATTATCATTAGCATTAAATGTAATTTATTCACTATTGTGTTTATTGTATGCATTCGTGTACATACATACATATGTATGCAATATAGATGCATGTATGTTATTGTAATGAGTTTTATACGTCACAATGATTTATATACATACATTTTTTCTTGTAGACATATGTATAATTACATATGTACATACATTCTAAATAAATGGTATGTGTGTATATATGTATAAATTTTTATTATCATAATCGCCAACTTTCTTTTACAATATTTTTTTTCTTTGTTTATATTTTCTCTTTACAATAATGAAGATAAAACATTTTGTTGTTATTTTTTACAACATTTGTGTATGAAATTTACAAATATTTTATGGCTTTCACAACTTAAATATTATGTTTTTGGAAATTTTACGAAAAAAATTTTGTAGAGTTTTTGAAATTTGCATATAATATTCATGTAATTAGGTGTGTTAATGTAACAAAAATTTAAAAAAAATTCTCTTGTTTGAAAAAAAAAATTAAAATTGTTATTTGTTATCAACCGAGACACATTGAACAGTTAGCAGCAGCAGGGTTGCATGTTTTATATCATATATTGCCATATTACGATATTTGTAATATTTTGACACTTCTTGACATTGATTTTGGTATTTTCTTATTCTCCAGCTGCTACTTCTTCAATATATCTTATCAATAAATATTATTTTTATATTAAATTTCGATTTACTTTCTTTTATTTAAGTGTTTTGTAAAGATTTTTAGCTCTTCTTCCGGATAGGCACTATTTTCTTCATTCAACAACTTCAGAGTTTCGTTCGTTTTGTCGTATTTTAATCGATTTTACAAGGTTTTGGGTTTCGCAAATGTTAAATAACGGTTTTAAATTTCAGAAAACTAATTCGAAGAGATTTGAAAACAATTTTTTTGAGTAAAGATTTTCTGCAGTTTTTTTTTTTAAGTTCAAAAATATATTTTAGTTTAATATAAAAATTTAAAAAGTATTTTCCGTCGCTCTTTGAGAAATGTTTAATATAAAATTGTAAGTAAATATCTGTTTTCTCAATATTTAAACTTAAAACCATTTCGTATCGAAGCTGTAGCACTGGTATCAAATTTTTCTTCATTTCACTTTTTTTCAAAAAAATTTTCATAAATTCTTTTTATTTTTTTATTGTACCCATACAAACATTTCGCTTGCCTATTGTTTAATTATTGTTTACATATTGTGTCAATATATTGTTTTTAATTTTTTTGTTTGTTGCTTCAATTTTGTTTATTTTAAATTTTAACTATTTGCTTTATCACTTACTTTTATTGTTATTACTGTGAGTATATTTTTTGTTTCTGTTGTAATTTATATTTCTTTTATTGCTTACAAACAATATTCTTTTGTTGCTGTTATATAAATATATTTTGTGGTTCCGAAAGTCAAATTTCTGCTCGCTAATTTACAAAAACAATTTTGAAAATGTTTTTCTCTATTTTTAAATTTATTTAAATTTTTATCTCTTAAATTTATTTTAATCAGTGTTTTAAGTTGCAAATTTTGAACATTTTGGAATTTTCTGGTTAATAATTTTTAATTTCAATAAATCATTTTCTTTCTACGGAGAAAATATACAAACATTTTTATTCAGAGCTCTGAAATTGCGCAAAATTTGGAAATAAATAATTGAAAAATAGCACACAAATTTAAATTTACCAAAATCGCAAGAAAACATTTTTGTATTTGATTTTTTTTTGTATTGCATTGTTTTTATTGCTGTTGCAAAGAAATTGGCGCAAACATTTTTTTTTAATTTTTGTTTTATGGTCACACTTTCTTTTAATTGTTTTTTTTTTTTGTTTGTTTTAATAAGTTAAATAACGCTTGTTCAATAGTTGGTTATTTTTAAGCAACAAATATTTTAAAGGGGTAAAAATTATAAAAAAAAAAAATTTTAAAAATAAATTATAAATATGTTTTAATTGCTTCCATTTCGAAAAATATGTTGGATTTTACTATTTCGTTGAAATCGAAATTTAGTGTATTATTTTAGCAATATAAGAACTTTATAAGCTGTTTTTTGAAATACGATTTTTTTATAATAAAATAGTTTTGGAATTTTATTCTAAATTTTCACATAATTAGCATGTGTTGAAGATTTCAAAATAAAAGCATTAAAATTTTTATTTTTCATTTTAAATATTTTTGCTGTAATAATTTTTTCAATTGCGAAAAAATGTGTGGATTTTTGAAATATTAAAAATTAATGCGCTGTTTTTTGAAATACTAACATTTTATAGAAACTTTGATTTGAAATGTGTTCTAATTTACGGATTTTTCACTTATTTATAGCGAAATTTTTAGAAGAAAATTAAAATTTTATTAAATCATTTTTCTGTGTTAATTACTTCAACTTCGAAGAAGTTTATGGAAACGCAATTTATTATTTTATTCTTTTAGCAATTTTAGAAGTTAATGAGCTAAAGCAGCAAAATTCTGAATTTTTTGTTATAAATTAATTTGGAACTTTTTTTTTTAATTTATCACTTAATTATTGTGAGTCGAAAATTAAAAAAGAAATCGGATTCGTAGGTCAAAATTTTCAAAATAAAGCCTTTTCATGTTGATACCATAATTTAAAATATATTATATATCCCGGAATTGAAAATTTCTTACTTTTTGAACATAAAAAATCTATTTATGATTTTTTGCATGTTTCAAAAAAAAAAAAAAATTTAATATGAAATATTTTTTTAACACTTATTATCTTTTTATTGGTAGTTTGAATGGTTTCAATTAATATACTTTTTACTATTGAAGGCTTGTTGACAAATAAATAATTTCTTTAACTAGCTGCTTGGAATTAAAAAAAATAATTTTACTCTTTTTTTCTTTCAATTATATATCGCTTGGTAACAAATTAATATTTTTGAAACTAACTGTTTGAAATTAAGAAAAAACCAATATTTTACTGCTTAAATAGTGTTAACCTTTCAACGAGCAAGCGTTACTAACCACACATTTTATAAAATGTTTTTTTTTAGTACTTTTTAATTTTTAATAAACAAACTTTATTCTTACAGACATTTGTTTCTTACATTAAATTTTCTTTTAACATATTTATACTCAATCGTTTTCGATTTCGTGCATTGTTTGTTTATTTATTTTACTTTACTCTCTTTGTTTTCGGCTAAAAGTCACTTAATATCAACAAAAATACTTTACAACGCTCTGTTAATTCTTTAAAATACAACTGATGCTTATTTACTTATTTTATTGCTTACATCATAGATAAATTTACTTACTTTTTCAATAATTTTGCTTATCTTTTGTCTATTAAATTTTTCTCACATTTTTCTGCACTCTTACACACTTACACAATTAAGTTTTTTGTATTTTTGTATTTATTTGTTTTTATTTTTTTCGACGTATTAAAACTATTCAATTGAATAGAGTTCGCATTTCATTAACGGTGGATGGTTCAATTCACTTTGCATGAATTTTCAATTTTTTTGTTTAAGAATTTCAAAAATTTCTTACTTGCGCATGCATAAACAATTTTGTCGTTTAATATTAAAAAAAAAATATTTTATTTATATACTATATTTTATTTAAATAAATTTTATTTTTTATTTTCAGTTATTAATATATTACAGCGGTTAGTTCTATTTATTTTTTAATTTATTATTATTAAATTTACGCACAAATAGCACTTAATTACAATTAATTAATAATTACAACAAACGTATTTTTTTTTTATTTTAATATTAAATTTAAACATTTTTGTTGTCAATATAAATTACATTTACAAAATATGTATGAATGGCTCATACATTACATACTTATGCACTTTAATATTAAGGTTTGTTTTGTTTGTTGTTGTTGTTTGTAAAGTTAATTTTAATTTAAGCATATTTGTAAAAAAATCAATATCTTTGCACTAAATTTAATAAAATAAGATTTGTAATCTTAAAAAATGTACTACAAAAAATATTATTAATAAAGTGAAACAAAAAAGTCAAAATAATTACAAAAAAAATTAATTGCAAATTACATATATTGCATGATATAATAAAAATTATAAATATTTATGCACACTTAAATGTAAAATATTTTTTTTATGTAAAAAAATCGTAAGTCAATATACATTGTAATATATATATATATTTTTAAAGTAATTATAATAATTACTTAAAATATTGTAATTAAGAAAAAAGTGAAATATATATATTTTTTATATATATTAACTGTGTATGTGTTTGTATATGTCTGTTTGTAGTAGCAGCGGCTGTTATTTGTTTTATTACTAAACGCAAGGTCAAAAATTAACAAAAATAAAATTATAAAAAAATTTAAAAAAAAATTTAAAAAATGAAAATATTAAAAAAATTTTTTAAATAATTGTTAAAATATTATAAACACATACAAATGCATATAATTTTTTATTTGTATTTATTACAATTATATTTAATTTGCGGCTGTTGTTGGTCTCTATTGGCGTGGATATGTATTCACTTTTGCTTAATTTGTTTTTTTTTGCTCGCTAATTTTTGCGTTAACGCAAAAGTTTAATCAATTAATTACAATTTTAATTATTTACAATAAACATATGCATGTAATGAATTTTATTTTAGATTTTATTTTTATTTTTATTATTTTAAAATTTTTGTTTTTATAATTATATATTTTTTACAATTATGTTTTTATTACTTTTTGCCTTATTGCATAGCGTCAGTAACATTTTTTTTTGTGTTTTTATTATTTGTATTGCATTCGTGTTTAGAAAAAGACGAAAAATCGAGTAAATAAAGAAATTCAACACATAAAAACATTGCTTGTATTTCTTTGAGATCATATAAATGTACATATGTGTTTGTGTGTGTGTGTCGATGCAAGTACAACAACATTTTGCTTATATGACAGCGCGGTGGGGGGACCGAAGTGCAAGTAGAAACCTGACCTTTGAAAACTTTTTGGAAAAAAAAGATGTCTTCAAAAGCAGTCTTTCGAGAGCTGGACGCGAGTTCTTATGAGAAAGAATAAGCTCTTACAATTCTTATAAGTATTTTGACATAACCTCACACTTTTTAAGTAGTTAGTAAGACTTTAATTGATGGACCACAGCTTAAAGCTAGTTGAACTTTTCATAACTGATTTTGCTTGAGACGAGCCAGCACTTGGGCGATTTTTCTACCATATGGGATATGAAAAAGGATAATATCTGACAAAATAGAAAGCTCTAAAAGTTTTAACCTGCGCCAAAAGAGCTGTTGGACGACGCTTTTTCGCTGACAGAAATACCTACAAAGCTATGAAATTGTCTGCTGAGAGAGTAAGCCCCACTCAAATTATCATAATTCTCTTGTAAATATTCCTTCGACATACTCTCCCCTTAAGTCCGCGCTGTCGATAAGCCAAAAGCGAACGCTACAATCATACAAAATCTTTAAGATTACAACAACAACAACCAACTAATTACGCTCACAACCATCCGCGATACCAACACCGCTTCCCTCCACGACGCTGACACTCCCCACCGCTGCGGCAGCCATAACCGCTGCCACATTCGCATGCCGCAACATCAAATCGCTTTCCGTTGCCGCCTTTCCGATGCTGCTCAAATTTAGCACCGACGCATTGTCGGACGCCGACGTCGCTGCATACTCTTGTGCGGACAATTTGAGAAATTGCTCATAAGCCGTTAGGCGCGAGCTCGACGTCGCTATGGGCGGTTCATCGCCGCTCAACGCCTCCATGCTGCTAGCAGCGCAGGAGCCAGCGTGGAATACTTTGCTAGCCATAACGGCGGCGCTGCTGCTGTACGGTGGTGGTGGTGGACGCTCATTTAGCAAGCTGCTGCCGCTGCCGAGCGTGTGCGTGAGCGCGCCAATACCGATGCGACTGCTGGTGACGACGTCGGCGGCTGCTGCGCTGGCAGTTGCGCTGATGCTGCTCAAGCTGCCGAGTCTTTGTAAATGCTGTTGTTGCTGCTGCTGCTGCTGTTGTTGTTGCTGCTGTTGCTGTTGCTGGTGATGATGTTGTTGCGCATGTGCCTGTTGCTGTTGTTGTTGTTGTTGCATGTCGAGCGTCGCCAACGTCGTGTGGGGATGTGCAACAACGGTCGTTGCGGCTGTGGCGCCGAACAGCGTCTCGTTTGATTGTCGATGATGATGTTGTTGTAGACCAGTTGGCGTAGCTTCCAAAGCACTGCTGCTCATTGGACTTGGCGACGTTGGCGATTGCTTGATGTGCGTAATGGCCGATGTGCCAACTGCAGAGACACTCAAATCGCTGCCGACACCACCACCACCAATGCCAACACCGCTGCTGCTCACATTCTGGCAATCGCTGAGATTACCGAGATAACGCGCGTTGTTGTTATTGTTGCTAACGCTGCTTGTGTTGTTGCTGTTGTTGATTGCGTTGCCGCCACCGCTGGTGCTATCGACATTGTCATGCGCGTCCTTTGTTGTTGCTGCTGTTGTTGTTGCCGCCGTTGTGAGCGCCAAGCCGCGCACGCTGGCGCCACTTATCGAACCGTCGCCCATGGTCGCCGCTAAGACGCCACTGTCGTGACGTTCGCTATTGCCACACTTGTTTACGCCTCCTACGCTTCCTCCTACACCGCCAATGCCGCTGCTACTACTACTATTGAATTCACTGTGTGTGGTTAGATTGGGCAGTTGCAGTTCATGCTATTCCTTTATCAATCGGTAGATGTGATGTGTGGCGCCGCTGTTCTGTTCCGCCACCTCGAATACGTACGCTATGCAGAGCAGGGTCTCTTGTGTGTCTCGCGCTTGCATCACCTGCATTCAAGCAACAGAGAAAAAGAGAGAGCGCGCGTGTGAAATATTTAAACTCTATTAAAAACTCGTTGAATCCACTCACCTGCAGTATTGTAAAGTTCTCCAGCACACTGTTCATCATATATCGTTCGGGTAAGTCCTTCAATTTCTGTATGAAGTTGATCATATATTCGCACATCGGCGACCGATGTATGCGATATACGAAACGACCGTTCTCCAAGCGTGAGTATTCCGTTTCCACTTTCTCAACCACCTGCTTGCCGAAGGAGCAGACTTTTGTCGAACAGACGAGCACAACATTTTCGTTACTCTCATATCTAAACCACATACAAAGAATGAAGGGTATAAAAAAACTGCAAAGAAAATTATTTTGGATTTGAGAATACTTACTGACTCGTAACGCCATAAAAATCACCCGTCTCTCTGCCGGTATTCAAGTCTGCCCAACATTTTACCAAGTAGAAAGCGTTCTGTGGACCTTTTTCGTAGAGATCTTTGAGACCACCTGATTTCTCAGGGAATTTATCGGAGATTTGTCGGATGTCAACAGTCTGTATAGAAAATATTTATTGTTTAATTGAAAAACATATTTCATAACTTCTTTATTTGAGGACTTGGCATAGTGGGGAAAAACATTAAAAATATCAGCAACCAAAAACTGTTTAAACTCTCTTGCAGCCTTGCCATTTCCTACAGAAAAATAGAGTTTGAGTTATAGTCACACAAACAACGTTGTACTTTTGGAGAAAATGTTATTTAAGCCCGGACCGAAGCGGATCGCAATTCATATTTCGTCAAGGATTGTCAACTCGATAGTATTCTCAAAAACTATATGGGAAATCTTTTCGGACATTACTTTAAAAAATTTTTTGGTGCGGGTTTCGGCATATGGACACCAGAAAATCTTCGTATTATACCGAGAACAAAAAAATAGGTTAAAATATATTGAAGACAGGTATGCTTCACTCACTTATTCCTTGGAAGTCTAGGTGCCAACCGAATAAAACATCGGTTTTGAAACAGTATACTTTTAAAAAGTAAAGACAGAAAGAAAGCTGAGTTCGGTGGGAAGATAGAACGTTGCGAGCTATCTATCAATTCCAGTTCCAGGTTTACGGCAGGGTTTCTCAGTCGAGGTACATTCGATTACAGCAGATAGACTGTTCCGCATAGCAGACTCTTTCAGGGAGGTGAGCGTTCACTACGTAGCAGATCAGTGATGCGAGTTTCGAGCTCAAGAGTTCTGTTTGCTGAAAACTGGTTAAGAAAATTGTAACCTCACCGAGAACTGTCTAACTTTTGAGCAGGCAAAGGATACTGGGAAAATTTGTGGGGATATATGTATATAACACTATTGCACTTTAGCACTTACGGCTGGGCCGTGAGCTTTGTGAGTGCCTGTCAACTACCAGCTCATCGGCAGAGCTAAGCACGTTCTGCTTCGGGTAAGTTTGGTACTTCGGAATATATCTATTGAGTTTCTCTGCACCAGCACATTAGATTCACACAAGACTTTATTACAGTAGTCCAAGGGTGATGTTCCGATCGACCGACTTTACCTAACCTTACCTAAATCTTATGAATATTCACAAACACTTACCTCAAGTAGCGGATCGGAGAAGGACGGTTTGCCGCCAAGTTGCACGAACAAATGCCGGTGATACTGCAGATAAGAAAAATATCATATTTATAGTAAAATGTTCGTAAGTAATACTATTCGACTTTGGACTTACGATTTCCTCTCTTTGTATCTCCATGAATGCCGAGAATTCGAGCAAGCGGAATTTGTGCGTCGCAATCGCTCTGCCCTCCCACGGCAGTTGTGCTGGCGGAAGACCTGCTTCGATGTCACCAGACACAGCTGTCGATGGTTTGCCGGCGGGATAGGGGGGTTGTGCGAATGGCTTAATGCTGTAATCGTAAAAACTGCGGTCAATGCAAACAATTTCAATGTCTCAGCTACAAAAAATTATTCAAGATAACTTACTCTTGTGAGGTGCTAGGCTGTAAACCGGGCTGCCAGAATTGCTGTGGGCGCGAAATAAGAAGTAGAAAGGAGAGAGAAATTGTATGTGAGTATGAATGTTTTTTTTTAAATTATATTTTTTGATTATATAATAAATATACATAAGTATGTATAAATGTATGTACAACGGTAGATTATGTACAATATTTAAATTGAAATGAAAATATATATGAACAAAATGAGCCAGCGAAAAGCAAGGTTTATATGAAGAGCCAACAAAATTTAGGGTTATGCATTTGTGATGAGAGAGCGCTCTTAGCTAGTTGTTTGTTTTTTGGTTTAAGCATTTGAGAGCGTAAAATACACATAATATAATTCACGGATGCTTATTACATAGAGATGATTTAGTTGTTTGTACAACAACTGGCGTTTTGGAGACCCCTAACCAATTTTAAGAATTCTTTTTTGAACTTTTTTTTAATTTTTTTTATTTTTTTCTATTTATTTTGCACTTTTTAGCTGCTGACACTGCTGATGAATGAAGCGTACGATGAAGCGAGCGATGTTTTGCGTTAGCTTATGGTTCCCTATGAGGGCTACGAGTAGAAATGTTTGTGATGAATGCACCATTACCTAAAAACATACAAATGAATGGTGGCTTTGTGGCTGATGGCGTTGCCAACGGTACTTTATGCGCGCATACATATACAAAAAAATACATTTACATACACACAAAGATATATGGATAGATAGAGGATTATGAAGCGCACAACGAGTGATTTATTTACAACGCAACGAGTAGCAAGTTAGCGATACATTATAGCGATTTCTATGATTTTCTTTGCTTCGCTTTTTGTTTTTTATAAAGATGAGCACAAAATTTAGCCGAGTTCGTTAGAAGCGCATTGAATTTACATATGTATGTATGTATGTATGAACTTTCTTACGCCCGGATACATCGGTGGATGATGGAGTGGCGTATGCGCATGCGTGGTGTGTGCGGCGTGTGGCACACCGGACGCCGTCGCAGCCGTTGTTGTTGTCGTCGTCGACGCCGCTGCCGCTGCCGTACTCTGTTGCACTTGTGCCGCGGCCGCTGCCGCCACCACCGCCGCATGTTGCTGCTGTAAATAAAGCGTACCCGCTGAGGTGACCTGCGGCAAGTGCGGATGCGCTGGCGGATGTGCGCTAGTGCTGTGCGGATGCGGGTGGTGGTGATGGTGCTGGTGGTGGCTATGATGTTGACTAAGGTGGTTGAGGTGGTGATGTTGATGGAAGTGATGTGAGTGTGTATGCGGCGTATGTAGATGTGTGTACGCATGCGCATGCGGTCCGACTAGTTGCGCAGCAGCCGCGGCCGCTGCCGCAGCAGCTACTGTTGTCGACGATGAGTTTGCTGATGTGGCTGCAGGCGCAGGCAGTGCTGGTGATAGTGGCGGCGCTGCACCTGGTGGACCTACAGCGCCGTGCGTTGGCTGATGCAAGCCAGCCGCGGTGAAAGCTGCCGCTGAAGCGGCATATGCGAGATTTTTCGCTGCTTGCGCCGATACAATTTGTGAGCTGGTCATGCCGCTCATAGCCTGCAATGCTTTCTCCTTTTCGCTGAGCAAGTGCAGCGAATGGGCGTGACCGTTAATGCCGCCGATGCCGTTGGGTTCCTGAAAATATTCAATGGAAGGAGAAAGGTGGTGCTCGATGAGGCGTGTGGGTCAAATGCACTGAAAAATTGCTAGTATTGATATTGTGTAACGCAGTGGCTAAGTTCTTAAGTGGTAGCTGGGTTATAGAAATCGAGTTCATATAACTTATTGGCTTAGCGAAATGCGATGATGACGATAGTGATGAGCTTGCTGATGAGTTTTAGATGCATGAGAACATTTGATGAGAGTTGTGTGAACGCGCTTTAATATATTAAAAACTCAGTAATCTTTTAAATTCAAAAGACCTTCAAAAGAGCTTAGTCTTTAATGAAGTCACTTTTACACTTTTTGTGTCCTTGACGTGAGCTACTGTGACTGTATGCATGGCATGCGTGCCACAACAAGCAGCGCTTACCTCCACAATTGGGCATCTCTTTGTGGTTGTTAGAAGCTCAGTAGCTAGCAAATAATAGAAAAAAGTAATAGCAACCACATACTTTTTGGTATGCACATCCTTACATTCTTTCTTTCATCCTTGTACTCACCGACAATGAGCGGAGACACACAACCACGCAATATCTGAGCACATACTATTCCACTACAAAGTGACCCAGAAAACATTGAGGAATTTCGTATGACAATAAACGAAACAAAAAAATAAAATAAAAGGAACCCATAAAACGCATTTCCACATATTGCAGAGCTAGCCAAGTAAAAGAGTCAAGCAAAAATATAATATACTTTCCTTAGTGTCCTTCAGTGTACTTCGAAATAGTTGTGGGTAGACAAAGGATTCTTTCCAGAAAGTATAAAGTATATAGGTAGATAAAAGAAAAACATTAAAATATTCAGAATTAAAAACCAACACTGACAGGCTTACAAGTAGTTCAAAAATACCTCGACCGTTATCTATAATTCCGATACTCTTAAATTCTGATAAAGATTGCTGATTGGTTTCACTAGACTCCAGAGATCAGTCGGATGACTGAAAAAGCTAATTTAAATCTTTATATAGATTGCTGACTCGTTCCTCCAGACCAAAGAGATCCCGAATAATTGAAGCTGAAGCTGACTTTGCGACGCTTTAAGGTGGTGGCACCTTGTGGTCTCTTAAAGACAGATGCGGGGATAGCATGATGTGGAGCAGTCTCATTAGTCTCACTCTCTTAGTATCACATTTTACTTGATGCACAAAGATGTTCCGGATTAGCTGAATCAAGTGTGGGATCAGAGGTGACTATTAAGAGTCTTCCACTTAATTTAATGGAGGTTTCAACAATAGGTCTGGCCTTCTTCTATCAACGTAAGCAAGGTGTGTTGTTTATTTGGAGGCTTATGTTTTGGAATGAAGTTCTGAGCCGATAAGAGCGTTTAGATGAACCTTTACGGCTTTACGAAAAGTGAGATACATAAATTTTCAAATTGTGTAGCTCCTAGACTCTTAACAAAGCTCTCGTCTTTTGTAAGCCTGTAGTAATTGTAATTGCAGGCTTATTGAATGGAATAAAGTTCCAAATAATTAAGAGGGTTTAGCTAGACCTTTATGGAATTTCCATGATTGAGATAAGTTTGTGAAATGTACTTCTTAGGTTATTTGCAAAGCTCTCGGCTTTTCTCTGCGATAAATAAATATTTGGACAATGAATCTATCCATAGTTCTATTTAGTTTTTGCCGACTGGAACTAAGAATGCTTTAAAAATTTAGTAGAGCTGCCTGACATACGTCTATAAGATCGAAAGAAGAAAATAATTAGAGATCTTTTTACATTTCAGCGGAAAAACGTAATATTTGAGCATTCAAAAAAATTGGAACGTTCGTTGAATCACTATACAATGGCATACAGGTATTTCTTCTCAGTTACACAGATCAAAGATAAAATGCGAGGTCAACTTTCTTCGAGTCAAAACTTGATAATGTTAACTACCACAGCAAAAATAACGTGATAATTTCTAGCCATGATCACTTTTAGAGATTTTGTTAATCGATCGAGCAGTTTCAAAGCTCTCTATAAGAGCGAAACAAGCAATGAACCGACTATCATTTCACAAATCAGCGAAAAAAAATATTTCTGTGCATTCAAAACATCGAAGTTTTCGGTAAACTACCATAAAGGTCAGACTGGACAAATGTTACAGGGATTTCATCCGAGTTCCACAGCTCAAAAATAAAACACGAGACCTACTTTTTTCGACAACTGAAGAAGCATTAAAATTATAAGTGAACGAAAGATGTTTTACAACTTGTTTGTAATTTTAAAAACTGTTACTAACCAGCAGTAAAACTTCCGATAAACTTAACGCACAGTTTATTTGCACTACAACACAAAATTAGTACAAAAGCTTGTACCCAGAGCTCTTTTAGACCAGAAAAACTGTTGTTATTAACGCAGCCATTCAAAATAACTGTTACTGCTTACGCAAGCTCAATAATCATATATCATATATTTCTTCCAGTTCAGTATGCAATTGCGCTTAATTCGAAATAAATTTACTCATGAAGAAGTATTTTGCATGAAGTGTTCCGAATAAAAATTTCAACCAACGAAAAATAGGCTTTTCACGTTTATAATATTTATAGAAAAAGCATATACATATTATAGGCGCTCTTTGACGCTCTTTCTATTTCTCTTAAACTCGCTCGCTTGCTCGCTCGCTTCTTCCACTTGACTGTCACACAAAACGAGCGGCCAGGCGATTCTTCGGTCACTTTAACCCACTTTTAAGATCCTTTTAGTTTTACAAAGCCTTTACAACTGGACCATTAAACACCGTTTTGCGAAAGGTAAGCAGCGAAGAGCAAGAACTATACTACACAATACAGCCAGAGGTAGAAGCAGAAGTAGAAGTAGAAAATGAGGCGGTCTTTACAACATTTCACTTTGTGTGCGCCATTTTTTGTTTGTAGCATTTTGAGTGTAAAAGTAGATTTTATTTGTTAAGCACAATTTTCATTATAAAATACATAAGTATTTGTTGTTTTTGTTGTTTGTTTACTATTTGCACGCCATCATTATAAATGCAAAAGTTGTTGAAAAATTCCAACTTTGAGCCTTTTGCCTCACGGCTTTTGTTTTAGCGCAGCAAAAAGTCATTTTCACATTACAGTTATTTTGAAAAAGTCATATTGCCATGTGCGCTTTGCTTCCTCTTCCTCATCCACATCCACACTGTGTGACTGTGTGCCGGCTCTGGCTTTCTATGTTCATGCATTTTCTCTTTCTTGGCTTTTGTTGCCACTGTGTTGGACAAATGTAGTTGCCGTTCATTTGTTTCGCATGTTGTTGCTTTTGTTTTTTTTGGCCTATTTGCTTGTTCGCTTTTGATGCTTTGACCTTTTGACACAATGTGTGGGCCATAAAATACCAAAGGAATAAAGCGGAAAACAAGAGCGTAGTGAAAGAAAACAAAGCACAAAGGGAAAATGGAAAAGCCGTAAAGAGTTAAAATGGACAATGCTGTTGGCCGAGCTTAATGCAGATGTCCCCAAAGTGGGCGTGGCTGATGGACGTGTGCTTGAGAAGCAGAGTTTGCTACACAAAAGTACCGTTATAATGTCAAATTGCGGCGAAGAGGAGCAAAAATAGGTGATATATATGTATATATGTATGTATGTAAATCCCCTCGGTAAGAGAGGAGCTGACCCGAGAGGGCGACATTTTAAAATATATAATTTCGAGTAAAGTGTAATTTCTTGAAGTAAACAATTGAAAAACAAAAATGTAAAAAAAAACATATGGCAACTGCAGCTTAACTCTCGTGCCGCGTCAGAAGGAGTCGTCAGTCAACACCAAAAACAACAACCACAACAAAAGCGCATAAAACAACAAAACAACTGTTGAAATCAAATAAACTTTCCAACAAAGCTAAAGAAGAGGAAAAATAGAGAGAGAGAGAAAGAAAAACAAAAATAAATTTAGTTTTTGTACAATATTTTGTTGTTATAGCTTGCTGCATTGCATTGGGTATTTCTGCTTTTTTGTTGTTGTCTTTGTGTTACCGATTTTACGGTACACAAACGGTCAGCGAGCAACAAAAAGGATTTCAATGGAATTTTCACTTTACAAAGTGCGATGCAACGCACAAACAACAACAAATAAAAAAATTAAAAAAAAAAAAACAAAAAATAAATATCAAAAAACAGAAGAAATTTGAACTGAAAAATATATATACATATATTATAGAAAAGTAGAGAAATGAAAAAGGACAAAACACAAAGCACAAAGCAAAATGCAACGCACACTCACGCGACGGCGGGCGGTGGCAGGGGATGTGGCGTGCAGTGGAGGGGCAAGAAAATCGCCTGCTGGGTGGTCTCGTCGTCTCAGTGAAGATGCGATGCAGTCACGTGTGGCAGAGACGAATTTATAATACAAACGGCAACAAGCAAAACAACAACAACACCAACAATAACATTGGAAATGTAGCTCAAACAAAAACTTTGCAGTCGTTCAAATGCTACAAACGGTACAAAAACCTGTAATTTTTGTAAAGTTTTGCCTTTTACTTGGACATATAGATGTCTATGTGTGCTTTAAGTATGTATGCATATATGGTATATAGAGGTAGGAACTGTTGAGCGACCGACACAAAGTAACTTCTAAGTGATATGGACAGACGCAACACACACATACATACATGCATAGTCACGTACACTTATGTAAATTCCACCGAAAAACACACACAGGCATATACACACACTTGCAACGAAATAAAAATGGATATATGTATTTACTCGTATGTATAAAGCTCGCAAATAGATATTTTCCTAGAATGCACATGTGAGTAGACAACTCTCACATAGGTATGTACCATACATACTTGTACATATGTAAAGCTTGAGTTAAAATGCATGCGCATTAAGGTGTGTACTTTTGTTTTCATTTTGTTTACTTTTGATAAAATGTTTGATAAAAATTTGAAATAACTCAGTAAAATAACTATTTAAAATTAAAAAAAATGTATATATGGTGACAATCCAATAGGATAACATTATTTTTGAAATAAATGAAATAATAAAAAAGTTATCCAAATTTGTTTTAAATTTGTACATTTCCTTTAAATTCCTAATTAAATTTTTCTAGAAAAAATTTTTAACGTATTTTTTTTATTCAAAATATATATTTTTTTAAATTGGACTTTATTTTAAAGTTTTTAAATTTTATATTTAATATTTTTTAATAACTTTTAGAAAAAAATATTAATATTATTATTTTTAATACAAAATATATATTTACTTAAATTATACTTTTTGTTTATTTTTTTAATTTTTTCACAAAAAATTTATTTTAAAAATTGTAAACGTACATATTAATTTATTTTCAAATATATATTTTCTGAAATTATATTTTGTTTTATATTATTTTTGAATGTTTGAATTAAAATTTTCCAAAAAAAATTGTGAACGTATACATTTTTAAATAAATTTTTTTTTCAAATTTCACTTTTTTCAATATTTTTGAATTTTTTAATAAGTGCTTCTTCATTTTTATTTATTTAAATGAAATTTACTATATAAAATTATAAGCAATATTTTCATAAACAAAATTATTTTAATTTATAAGGTCTTTTCGGGCAATATAAAAAAAAAATGCTGGGAAAAAAATTGAAAAAGAATATTATTCGAAGTTATTTCCTGTTAAATAAACAAAAATAATAATTTTTACTAAAAAATATATTATAATATAGTGATCGAATTATTTAAAAATCGAAAAAGTAAAGCGAATGATAAAAAATAAAATTAATATTTTTTACGATCATCATATAGTATAATATTAGACCCGAAAAGCAGCTTTGGCAATATAAAAAATACAGGTTGGTTCAAAAGTTGCACGACTACTACGTAGGCGAATATTTTGTAGAGCTTCCGGAAAGTCATTATAGGAATGGCATAAAATTATTGGAGGATCATTGGAATTAGTGTATCGAAGTTAAGTAATGTCGAGCGCAGTAACTTTTCAACCCACCTGTACAAACAGTATTATAAATAACAGAAAAATTTTAAAATAAATTCATTTAAAACGAAAAATATTTTTTTCTCAACAAATGAAGGCTGAAATTTTAGTGATCACCCTCATTATACATACAAGCTTAAAACATACATATATACTAAAGATTCCAACTGGTTACTTTGTAAGCAACTCTTTGGTAAAAAATTAAAACTGTAACACTTTATCTGCTGTTACTAGCATTTCATTCTCAAATAGTTTGTTGTTATTGTTGTTTTACTTTTCTTTTCTAAATATTACTTTGAGAATTTGCCATACATTCTGTTGCAAGGCTTTGAATTCAAGTAAAATGATAAACGAATAAAAGTGAAATATTTATTTAAATGACAGATGAATGCGCTTTACTGCGATTCCTGTGTGTCTGTGTATTATATACGATATATTAATGTCCATATATAATTTTAAAAATGTTAAAAAGCAATTAATTTATTTATATACTTTATTTTTATTATTTAGTAAATTAGTTTTTTTACTGGTTTTCGAACCCGTAAGATGAACATTGTAGTGTTCAGAGTCTTTAGGATTTAAAAAATGTATATATTTTTATTATTCGGTAAACTACGTTTTATACAGTTTTTTGGACACGTAAGGTGAACATTTTAGTGTTATGAGAGTTTGAAGTTGTATTTGCAATGTTTTTTATATTCCTAACCTCATATTTTAAGCGTGTTTGGTTATATTATTGATCAAAAACTTGTTAAAACGCCTGAGTTTTAAATTATCTCAAACAGCTAATACCAATAAGCTAATGTCGTTTAATTTAGGTTTTTGACACTGGAGATATGCTCTAAAACAGCCGTACATACACTATAAAGCAACATCTTTTGTAAAATAAAAACTGTAAAGCGGTTGCTAAAGTGACGTCAGCAAACACACGTTGACTGCGCAATACTTGAAGCGATATTGTGCTTCATCTATGCTTCCAAGTATTTTTTAAAATCGCGAAAAAACCCTTTGCATGCAATTTTTAGATTTTAACGGTTGTGTCATTTATGGCAGTGATGTATTTGTATGCAATTTTTAATGAGTTTTAAAATGCAAAAAAAAAGTTTTATTTTTATTCAGCAAGTGGGTTTATGCATGACGTGCATAAAAAATTTCAAGTTAATAATTTTTTTTTAAATTTTTTCTTTGAATTGAAAGTTATGGATAAATTGTAAATATTTTAAAAATAAATGTAATTAAATGCAGATGTCTTAAATTATTATTTTTTCAATGCTTCTATACTCCATAAACACTTCAAGGACGTCAGATAAACCTTGCTTTTCATATTCGAATTTGTAAAAAAAATATAAAATAAATACAAATATGCATATAAATCGAATAAAATTAAAGCCGAAGTGAATTTGGATGGTAAAAGCCACAGTCAAAATATTTAAAACAAAAAAAGAACATAGAAAATAAGAAATTTCAAACGTATTTGAGGCAAAACTAATTTTTTTGTTTGGTAAATAAAAATAGTATGTAACAAGAAATATTATTATTTTACTTACAACTTTGATTTTCGCCTGAATCTCACGCAATTTCCGTCTGGCCAGAACCTGTATGTGCGAGCTGACTTGCTTTCGTGTTCTCGTCTTGCCTGTGCGTAGCTTGATATAACGAGCGATGAGTTCATTACGGCCTGCAAATCAAAAAAAAAAAGCGGAAGAAAGTGAAAAACGTGAAAAACTACTGAGGAAATTGTGAGTGGAAAAATTGAATACATAATAAGCGACATTAATGAAATAAATTACAGGAAATTAACTATGAAATTCGGATAAAATCAGCGCGCTTTGTGCGAGTATTTGCCATACGAAATGAAGCTTAATTCGCCATACGCGGTAAGCATCCCACTCTAAGATAAATTTGTTGCTGTAGGACATTTAATAACTGTATGAAGCTTGCGGCTTGATTTTAAATCGCCTGCTAGATATTGTCACAGATATATGTATATTATGTCAGTACTATAGCATATATATTACTATACTTCGCGTTCATTTATAAAAATTAGAGTATTTACTCAGTTTAATTTGGCAAATACTTGTTTATTTGAGTAGCTTGGTACTGAGAATATAATTTTTCTACTCTTTTATTGCATTTCTTGGCTTCCACTTCACGCTCTACTACTCTCTAACTAATGCTGTAGTAAAATGAAATTAATTTTTATAATAATTAGTAAAATAAATGTTGGTTTTCGGTAATTAGTTTTATGGCTAAATTAGCTGCTGGTTTTATTACATTAATTTTATGTGTTTATTTGATTTGTTTCATATGCGTAAATATATGTATATATACGAGTAGTTCCAAAACTATTTTTCTTAAATGTATAATACATTATAATACTTCAAACCCAAGAAAACATTGATATCTTTGACTTCCCGTAAATATTATATTTTCATTTCGTTCATTAACATCAAACCCTTTTATTATTTAGCTTTTTGTAATTCTAACTAATCAAAAAATTCTACGAACTTCTTGGAATTTTTGAAAGCACCTTCAAAAGCATTCTTGGTTCGATCTGCTGTTTGGAATATTAAAAAATTAGGCGATCGTCTGCTAGATTCATATATGAATCAGAAATTACTCTAACGAACAGCAACTGGACTAAACAAATCAGCCCAGATTATTCACATAAAATCTTAAATCAAATTAGACTAGCTATAAAAATCTTTTAACCCTGCAGCAATGACCATGAACCATATTGGCTATAAATTTATATGCTCTTCAGGTTTACTTTTGCACACTTGAAGGAAAAAGAGGAGGAAATGCAGTTCAAGAGTTCTAAGTGGTTTTGCTTTGTATTCGTTTATTTTATAAAAACTAATTTTTGGAAAGTTCAACGGCTCATTATCAACGGTGGCATAATATTCATATATCAATATCTTCAAGTTAAATAACGGTGCTGCCGAAGCAAATATTATTAGCTTAAAAATTGCTTCCTTGAGAAATCTTACATTCTTTTTTATGTCAGTGCAGAAAATTTTTCATTTTTAAGCCTAATAAAGCCGCGAAAATACTTGTTACAGCTGTCTTTGTTTCGCCATGCATTACAGAGTAGCGAATTGAACGAACTATACCAGCTGTTCAAATAAGGTAGCCGCATACTCTCTTGTATCGAGTTCAAATCGCTAAGTTTGTTATTGCTTTGATATCTATATTTTTTTAACAAGAGATCAGTGCCAAAAATATACCGAGCAGAGAAATGGCGAATGGATGACGGCTAATATATATTTAAGAAATAAAAGTATACGATTGATATTAAAAGGAAGTAACTAACGAAATCATGGTGTAGTCTTATTACTAAGGTTCTTTTTTCTTTCGATGTTACACAAAGACAAATTTTGGAGCAATAACCCAGTGATTCTTGAGATATTAAAGGGACGTATTCGTAAGGTAATGCTTAGTTCGCCATTTAAACTCAACCACACATTGCAGTAGTGTTAATAGAGGGCAGAAGAGCCTATGGTGCATAGTGGTCCGATCTGAGCTATATGTTTGAAGATTGAGGAGATGCCTTACACAATAATCCATATAAAGTTTTTGGAAGATATTTTGTTAAAAAAAAATACAATACTTGATTTTGATCGCTCAGTTTGTATGGAGCTATATGCTGCAGTCGTCCGATACCGGTGAAAGAGCTTCTTGGGAAGAAGAGAACGTGTGTAAAATTTCAGATAGTTATCTCAAAGATTAGATGAGGAATAGTTCGCGTGTATACAGATCGATGGATTCGGTAATTCGATTTTGAGTACTCCTGTACACATTGTTATATCAAATTTGGCCAATGATAACAAATTTTGAAATATATTATATGTGCATGTATCTTTATTTAAATATCTTCATGGCTATCGTTAAACATTTCCCTAAATAACGGCATGCTTTGCACTATATTCGCGTATTTGTATTATGTAATAGCAAACCGAAACCGTTAGAACGCCGCGCGCTTGCCCTTACATCACACCCACCAACCCTTCACAGAAGTCCCATTTACACCCTGTATATATGTATGTATGTGTGTATGTAGATATCAAACCATCAGCGACAAATATAAATTTAATCAAAATTAATTTGCACCAACAAAGAGACAAAGTGAAGCGCAAACACTTAGGTAGGGGAGAACGTGGGGCTTTGGGTAAACGAAAATATTCATAGCTCGCAATATTACACAATTCACTAACGACCGGGCTGCAACAACAACAACAATAGCAACAACCGAATGGTGGAGCAGGAAGGCGTGTTCATATAATAATAAATAAAATAATGACAGAAGACAGACAGACGGACAGACTTACAGAGAGACACAGCAACAAGCAGACAGCGACACAAGCACAAATACAACAACGACGCTCTGTGGTGAATACTATGCTTGCGCCTCTTTTTATTTTACGCCCTTTACTGCTTCGCTTCTCGCTTGCCGCCGCTGCTTGCCACTCATCGACTTCTGTTGTCTTTCATCGGCCGCCTTCGTCCTGTCACCTCAGAACTCTGCTTGAGCTCACAGCGCCCTTCAATTCTATTGTTTTCACTATAATTTTCTATGTTTTCGCAAAAGTTCAGTTAAAGTTTGTTGTTGTTGTTGTGGACACTTTGCTTGTGCGCCGTTGAAGCTCAGTCATTGTCTTCTGTTTGGTGCTGTTAATGCTTCTCTGTGGATGCTGTCTGAACTCTTGCGCTGCGCGTGCAACTCTTCTCCCCTCAGCAAAGTTGCGCATTGACTTGCCTTTGCCGGCCTCTAGCGCCCTTCTTAGCTAACGCGTCCTTCATGCGCCGCCTCTGGCCTCTGTGTCTTCCATATTGTCTGCTTTGGTTGTGACGTTGGCGTCGCCGTCGCCGTCGCCGTTCACTAATTGCACATTCTTGGCATAGTTTCACTTCTAACCGAATAAAATTATTTTCATTCACTCAACGAAAAGCGTACACTCCCCAACGCGTCTTTGACCTCTTCACTACTTTTGGATATCTATTTGTGTGTGTGTGTTTGTCTTGCAGAAACTTCCTCGCTTTTCATTGTTTTCCAACGCGCCCAAATCTCCAACTCTACTCTCTTCAGTTCGCAGCACTTTGGCCTTCACCAATATTTGTTGCTATGTATGCCGCAACCTCCGCTATGAGCCTTTCACCGTCTCCAACTTAACTTAATATCAACTTAGTTGTGGAGCACAGGAAAAACAAGAAGACTTTTAAGAATCAACAGCACAAGCGCCGTGTGGGCTGTGTGTATCTATAGTTCGGACTTTTTAGGTGTTTGTCTTCTGCATTTGCTCTGATCGCTGTTTGTGTGACTCTATGTGTTCGTCGCTGCTAGAAAACGCTTACAACTCGTCCGCTATATTGGTCTCGTCGACCTTTACAGCGTGTATAGAGTCTCAGCAACTTCACTTTTCTTTCAATAACTCGCAAAAGTTCACTGGCTTCCTTTAAGTTTTGCACTATTTCGTTTTTGGTTGACAGTTTGTTCGTTCGACAAAGGGGTGTTATAGATAGTAGTTTGCTATATCTTGATTGTTTTTGTAAAATAAGTCAGCAACAAGCGTGTAAAGTTAAAGGAGTTAGAGCTGCAAGCTCTTTTATCTATTTGGAAAATCTTGTTAATATCCGATTTTCAAAATGTGTTTCTTTTCGCGTTTGTCTCTCACGATTTTAATTGCCAAAAAGCCGTTTAAGGTAATTTTATTCGCTGTTATAATATTAAAGTAGGTTAGTTACGTGTTTGTAATGGATTGAAGCGAATTAAAGACTTCATCTTTTGTTTGGAGGAAAATAGTTGGTGAAAATTTGTGGCGTTTGTTAAATCAGTTTTCAAATCTTAACTTATTTAACTCTTTTAGCCGATTACAGATCATTACTTCTCTTCTTATATGACACTACCGCTGATAGATTTGCTTCGAGAAATCAATATATTTTTGAATCTTCTCTCGCTATTGCGTAGCTGCGTCGGTTTTTCTGGAAGAAGTGCCAACAAGCTCTTCTGTTTTTAGTTTATCAATATTGTTTGAAGGACAAATGCCTTTACTGTCCGTTCATTGGAACGGAAGGTTCTTTTTACTGAAGTAGCAATATAAATATTTGTTCTTTACTCCACCATATTCTTACACACAAACAAAATCTAACATATATGTCAAGAAGGTTTACGAAAATGCTTCCAAAGAGAAGTTAATGATGAATAAGTGATTAAAAATAAAAATCGATTTTTTCATATTTCGATAGCTTTTACCTTTCAAAATGACAAACTAAAATTTTAAAACGATATCTCAAATCGATTTTTTTATTTTTCGATAGTTTTTACCTTCAAAATTAATATATATAAATTACATTATTTCCTGATTTTCTTTTAACTTATAGGTTGCTAAAGTGCGGCCGCTCAGTTCAATCAGCTCATTTTTGAAATTTGCTTTAGTGATTACTACCAATGTTCCGATCACTATGGGTTGTTACACTAAGGGTCCTTACAGTAACTTACTAGTTTTTTATCTGATAAAAATCGAATTTTCGCAGGTCAATTTGTCGATTTTTTTTCGATCGTAGGGCAATATCTTCGAGTAGAGATTTTTTTAGTCTTCATCCACGGAGAAGGCTGGAATCACTACAGTAGCGGAAAAGCTTTTTTTCGGGCCGTGAAAAATCGCGTGAAAGTCGAAAAAT